ACCCCCCCCCTGGGGGCTCCAGCCTAGCGATGGCACCACCCTGCCCTGGCTCCTCTGGTGGAGACACGTGTCCCCGTGTGGCCTCTCACTTTGTCCTTGGCCAGCTCCCGTCCCCATCCCGTTGTGCTCTAACTAGCTGCCTCAGCCTCCCAGCTGGACCACAGGTGGGCACGCCATCACCACAGTGTCGGACAGGGTGGCAGTCCGGGGCCAGCCTTGAGCTCTGGACCCTTCTGCCTCAGCACCCCGAGTGGCCGGGGTTAGAGTCACTCATGTCCAGGTCCAGGCTTTAGGCCTCCCGTGTGTCCCAGCCTGTGGGGCACAGTGTCTTTTTAAATTTTCAATTGTCAGAGGGCATGTGTGCTGGCCCCAGAGAAACAGAGAAGGCGAGAGCACCGCCCCGACAGACAGCGGCCATGCTACAACCCTTCCTCTCCGTCTCTCATCCGGCTGGGCCTGGGGCATGCACACACACGTGCCTGGCCCACTCTTCAGGCCACAGAGGCTGAGGTCCCACCTGCAGCTGGCCTGTGGGATCCAGCTCCCGTAACCACTAGGCTACGGGGTCAGCCCCTGGAGACAGACTCTCAGAGAGCGCGCCACCACGCGGGGCCCAGTTCTTTCTATTTAATTCCCCTTTATCTAAAATAAATAGCCGCTCTGGACAGGAGCCCTCTGACCTGTGACTGCGATGTCCAAGGGGTCGCTGGGTGCCGAAGAGGAAGAGGACAAGTCTGAGCGGAAGCCACGACACCTGTAGGTCCCGCCGTGTGCCGTGGTCACGGGGCCCATGAGGTACTTGTCCTTGAACACTCTGTTCTGGAGCTCAGGGACGTGGGCCCCGGCTTCCTTGTACAGCCTGAACGTGTCAAACTTAAGAGGAGAGTAGCACAGAAGCGTCACGTTTTCTCCACGAGGGACCGTGTGGCTTGGCCAGGCAAACAGGAGGGGCTTGTCCTGATCATCTGGGGAGATGGAGGCACAGCCTGAGAGGAAGATGGGGCGGAGAGTAGGGGGGACGGCCACTGCCCTGGGGGCTCCTCTCCTTCCCGTTCCCAGCCTCCTTCCTAAACCTGGGATGCCCGGGCTGCATGAAGATCCTCTGCTGCACAAACATGGCGCTCCTCTACTGTAAAAATGTTGGCTGGGACTTTTAAGCAGGCAGTGAATAAGGGACTTTTAATCGTTTTTGATGATTCAAAATTGTTTATATTTTAAAAGGCCCAAGGTTGACATGGAACCGAGGGCGAGGTCTGTGAATGAAATTGCATCACCTAACACGAGCCCACGTCTGCGTGCAGCCTGCGTCAGAATGTTCTGGAGGGCTGCGGTCAGGGCGTCTGGTCCTCCCACCTCTTCTGGTGGAGCATGTCAGACACCTGCCGCTCGGCCATCTTGCAGAGCGTGTAGCTACCGCGTGGGCCCCAGAGGGATCTGCTCTCAGCACCGTCTCCTCCCTGACTCAGCAGGTGACTCTGCGCCCTCCCCGACGCTGAGCTCTGAGCTCCACCATCCCCTCCAGGTGCTTGCAGAGCTCAGCCAAGGGGACAGTGGCTTTGGGTCTCTGGAGCGGAACTGAGAACTGGGGGGTCCTAAGGCACCCCTTCCTGTGTCATGAGAGATTCACCCACAGGTGTCCACAGCAGCCCCCAGTCCAGCCTTCCTGCTGCAGGAAAAGCCTGTGACCCAGGGTTCGGGGAAGGACTCACCCACTTGTGTCCATATGCTCTGAACCAAGAAGAACCCTGGAAAAGAGACTCGCGGTGGACGCTCCATCTCCGCAGACCCCGGCCTCCCACCCCTGGCCCTGGCTGGCCTGTGAGCCTCGGCAGCCAGGTCCGGGCTGAGCCGAGGGGGGGGCCGGTGCTCCGGCCCCA